CAACTCCCAGAATTCCCCAGCCAGCATTCACTGGCTGGGGAATTCTGGGAGTTGAAGTCCAGTCATCTTCAAGTTGCCAAGGTTGAGAAACACTGGCTTAATCTATTACTGGGGTATCTATATTGTTGGATTTACACAATACATAAAACACTCATGAATATGAAGCTTGGATAACACTCATCAAGCTTCAGTTATTATGCCATTGCAGCCATTAGGTTAAGTGTATTGTGTGAACACGGCCTAAAACCTAAATGTAATAGTTTTAAACAGAATGTCAGAGGGAGAATCACTGTGGATGAGTTTTAAGCAAAAAGTTAATAGGCATACCTATTGCCTGTTAAGAAAAATCTCAAGGATAGCTCTAAAGCACAGAAGGTTGGATGTGCAGCTAACACCAAATATGTTACTATTTTACTTCACTATATAAGCCAGTGGTTCCCAAACTTGGCAACTTTCAGACTTGTGGACTTCAACTCCCAGAATTCTCCAGCTACCTCTTCTGGCTGGAGAACTCTGGGAGTTGAAGTCCACAAGTCTGAAAGTTGCCAAGTTTGGGAACCACTGATATAAGCCATTTATCAAGCTCTCTGGCCCATGTATCAGCTAAGTCCCTTCAAAAATGAAATAACCTTAATAAACACATCACTTGACATTGAAAGAAAATGAATGTTGGTCGGTCGTCCTAAAGATGAAGTGAAAAACAACCCAACTGGCTCGCCTCTTATTCTGAAAGAAAGGAAGCAGACAAGCTACACATCTATCTACCTGGATCTGTCAGGACTTCTTTGGCAGCTGCAATATCAATAAACTTCTTCTCTGCTTTCTTCTTCTCTTCTTCATCCTGAAAATTATCTGGGTGCCACTGCATTGCCAGCTTCCTGTAGGCTTTTATGATTTCCTGTTTCCTGGCATTCCTGCCATAAGTATAAGAAATTACTTGAAATTATCTCTTCATGCCATGGTAAAACTTTTGAAAAGAAGCCAAGACCCCTGTCAGTAGATGGGAACTGAGATTCTTTGGCTGTCTTCTTAATAAAAGATGGCAGGTACCATCTTTTATTATATGGCTTAACTTCTGTGTAACAGGGAAATATGTAGAATGATGACTCCCTGCATCCAAGATGCCCAATTCCCTTCAAGCGTTAAACTTCTCTGCATGCAGCATTATATGTTGCGTTTATAAGTTTCCTTATTTACAACAGAACGTCCTTAAGATAGTTTTGAAAAATTCTTTCCTACAGGTTTCATAAGAAGGTAATGCTGCATCTAGTGACCACTCATTCAGCAACCATTTAAAACTTACAAAGGTGCTAAATGATTGGTAGTTACAACCAATCCTTGAAGTTTCAGTGTCTCTGCAATTATATGATAATGATTTCCAACATTCCCTGCTGGCTTCCCAAGAGGCAAAGACAATGGGGAAGCTAGCAGGAAATTGGAACTTGTAATCATGTGAGGTTCTCACGGGCTGCGAATGGGACCGCCTCAACTGTTGTCACAAAACAGCATGGTCATGTGCTATCACATGTTACAACCCCATCACTTAGTGATGGAAGTTCCTGTCCCAATTGCCACTTTAAATAGAGTACTTCTATAGCTTCTTGAAGAAAAAGCAACATTTAAGGAAACTATGGGGATTGGCAATTGCTAAATGCTTACCTTTTAACTCCTAAAATTTTATAGTAATCCCTCTTTTGAGACTGCTTGAGCATTCGCTGGGCTTTCTCAAGGCTTTCCTGAATCTGCTGGTCATTATCATTGTATTTTTTAGCAGTTTCATAGTCCTGGATAGCTATCACAAAGACAAAAACAGAGTTCATTTACAGATTTGCTGTATAGTAATTCATTTCCAGCCTGGCCAGATTTCAATGGTATACTTATTTAAAATTGGGTAAAGGAAAACAAAGACTATTTATGCTGTCAAAGTGTACCTTCATCATACATTTCTTCTAGCAAGTATGCTTCAGCCCGATCTTTGAGGACATTCACATTTTCTGGCTCCAGCTGCAGAACCTCTGTGCAAACCTTAATGGCTTCTGTCGTCTGTTGATTCTGAAAAAATTGAGATGGACAAATGAGGACAATAATAGCAATAGCGCTTAGATTTATATACCGCTTCACAGTGTTTTACAGCCCTCTCTAAGCAATTTACAGACTCAGCATATTGCCCCCAACAATCTGCGTCCTCATTTTATCCACCTCGGAAGGATGGAAGGCTGAGTCAACCTTGAGCCTGGTGAGATTTGAACTGCCAAATTGCAGGCAGCTGGCAGTCAGCAGAAGTACAGTACAGTATAAGGCAGTACTGCCTTATAACCACTGTGCCACCGTGGTTCCATAAGAAGTTTTGCCCAATGAACTGAATGTTTACCTTTGAAAAGCAATGACAGATTCTCTCTTTGGCTCGAGTAGTGTAGATAGGAACATTTGTCTCCATCTTCATAACAGCCTCATACTTCTCAGTGGCTTCCTGATACCTTATTTACATTAAGAAAGAAAATCAGCGAATAATGTATATTTATTAAATTTAGGAAAACAAATTATATTGTTCTGTATGTTTTACAGAGGGCAAAGTAAATACACCAGTGCTCCCTGTTAGACTGAAATAATGACACAGACCTCATATTTTACCAATTGGTTTTCACTGAGTTGGGGAAATGGCAGGAAATTGTTCCATTAGTTTTCAATGTTGCTGATTACTGAAAGCTGCAGGAGTTGCAGAATCTCTTGCAGATGAGATGGAGACTATACCATTGCCACAAACCATGACATTGAAAATTCCTGGAGCAAAAGCCACTTCTCTGAGAAGTAATGGGGATCAGCCATCATGCTCACAATCATGCCCTTTTAATGGATATTGAGTTCCAATTAAATAATCTATATATATAAAAATGGCTCTGTGTGTGTATGTTCCAGTATAACTCTGGAACGCCTTGAGCAATTTCAACCAAATTTGGTACATAGATGACTTACTCTCTGGAGACAAATACTGTGAGGGTAAGACACCCCTAGCACCCCTTGTGGTTTGTGTGTTCTGTTAAGATGCAGCCTATTGTGCCTTTAAATGGCTTCTACTGTACTGCTGTAAAATGGATTCTACTGTACCGCACAGCAGAGTTGTCATGATAACAGCTTCACAGTACTCTACAAAAGGGGCTGCCTCTGGTAAGGGGGAAAATCCAACATTAGAAATTATATTTGGTCCGGACATTTTCCCCCTATAAATAAATACCTGGGCAACACTGGGTTATTGGCTAGTTGGAAATAAACAGCAAAAAGCTAAATACAAATTTAATATAGAAAGTTATAAATTAATTAAAGATCCAGACAAATTTGGAGTATTGAGACATTTACTCTAAGATTTTGAAAATAATTAAATAATTATTCCTTTTTGCAGGAAACAAATTGTTTTGTCTATCTGAAGTCGCAATAGAGATTTAAAATTTTCTCCTTATACACTTGGACACTGGAAGGAACTAAAGATTCCAGGCAGAAAAGGAAAAAGTGTAAATCTGCTTTTGGTTTAGGGTTAGTCCAAGGATCTACAAAATAATACAAATTGTTATATATTTGAAATACTTCAGGAGATTTTCAAATGGGCCCAGAAATTCGTTACAATGTTAGCAATGATGTCAGCTTTCCATGAGTAGACTATGTCCAAAAGATGTTAATGGAAGAATGATAGATGTGAATCAATTTTTACCCTATAAAGAAATAGTAGAACCAAAAATGTTGGATAATTTAAAAAGAGTGTGGATTTCAAAAGAGAGATAAAATGGAAATACATGTGACAGGCCAGGAGAATGCCCTTGATAAGGCTTTCTACTGGAGATACAAAAAACAATAGTTAAAGTTTTGAAAATTGAAGAGGGCATACAAGTAATATGCCAGAAGAATGATTTGGATGACTTTTTACTGGATTTACGAAAGAGATTTGCCAAACCCTTGAAGATAATTTTAGGATGGGAAAAAATAAAACTTAAGGTCAAACCACATCTTTCATCAACATCTGAATGAATTAAAGAGCAGGATTGTCAAAAGTAAAAGGAAGGAATATAAAGTTGGTTTGTTTAACCAACATTAAAATAAAACATGTTTTTTATAAAGCTCTGGTAACCCTTTATGGATTGAAAAGTTCACGATTTAGATATTTGCATATGGTAAGAGATGGCTTATAGGAAGAAGAGATATTTTCTTCTAAACCTATAGAGATTGAAGAGTTATTAAATGTATTTATACAGGTAGTCCTCAACTTACAACAATTCATTTAGTGACAGTTCAAAGTTACGGCATTGAAAAAAGTGACATGACCATTTTTCACACTTACAACTAGCATTCCCATGGTCATGTGATCAAAATACAGACACTTGGCAACTGATTCATATTTATGATGGCTGCAGTGTCCTGGGGTTATGTGATCAGCTTCTGCGACCTTCTGCCAAGCAAAGTTAATGGGGAAGCCAGCTTAACTTAACAACTGTGCTACTAACTTAACAAGTGCAGTAATTCACTTAACAGCTGTGGCAAGAAAGGTCCTAAAATGGGGCAAACACACTTAACAGCTTAGCAACAGAAATTTGGGGCTCAATTGTGGTCGTACGTCAAGGACTACCTGTACTTATTACGATCAGAAGTCATCTATCTATCTATCTATCTATCTATCTATCTATCTATCTATCTATCTATCTATCTAT